TCAGCGCCATATAGTTGTTACGAGGTGAACTCGTATTTCATTATGTGTATCACATAGTGATAGAATAAATTCTGAAATAGTATATACATATTAAATGTGAATAAAATTAGTCCTTATGTAAGAAAAGTATAAAAACATGGCGGTTGTAGTTGAAACTACTATAGGAGACTTTACTGTTGATTTGTATACAGAAGAACGTCCGCAAAGTAAGTGTAAAGCAAGAATAGAGGTTAGGTTTCTTTATTATTACTATATTACAAATTAATAGTTTATCGATTATTGTCGCCGATTAATATTTATTAACATAGATAATATTTTGTAGCATGTCGCAATTTTTTAAAATTATGCAAATTAAAATATTACAATTGGAATTTGTTCCACTCTGTTCAAAACAATTTTATTGCTCAAACTGGAGATCCTACTGGTACCGGAAAAGGTGGAGAAAGTGTTTATGGAATAGTATTAGGTGAAAAAGCAAGATATTATGAAGCAGAACAAATGCCAAAAATAAAACATGATAGAAGTGGTTTATTGTCTATGATTAATTGTGGCAATAATATGCTTGGATCTCAGTTTTTTATTACTCTTGCGCCTGAACTTCAATCATTAGATGGAGAGCATTGTGTATTTGGTGAAATTACAGAAGGTTTAGAGATTATTCTTAAATTCAATGAAACTATTTGTGATGGAGATCACAGACCTTATCAAGATATACGTATTTCTCATACTGTGATTTTGGAAGATCCTTTTGAGGACCCAAAAAATTTTATTGTACCCGATCAAAGCCCACCACCCACAAAAGAAGTTTTAATGGTATAATTATTTTTTGTTTTATATTTTTAAATTAAAATTAAAATTTTTTGTAATATAATAAAAAAAAACATATTTATAGAGTGATAGAATTGGAGCTGATGAAGTGATAGATGATACAGCTGGTATGACAGCTGAAGAAATTATAGAAATGCAAAAAGAAAAGGAAGCTAAAGCAAGAGCTACAATTTTAGAAATCGTGGGTGATATTCCAGATGCAGATATGGCTCCTCCTGAAAATGTTTTGTTTGTTTGTAAATTAAATCCTGTTACAACTGATGATGATCTCGAAATTGTTTTTAGTAGATTTGGAAAAATTATAGGGTATGTTAAGTTAAATTATTTCTTTTATTTAGTATTATTGACATAATATTATATTTTTCATAATTCTTCTCTCTATTCTTTTTTTCTAGTTGTGAAGTTATCAGAGATCGGCAAACTGGTGATTCATTGCAATATGCATTTATCGAATTTGCTGATCGTAAAAGTTGCGAGGAGGCATATTTCAAAATGGATAACGTTTTAATTGATGATCGTCGTATACACGTAGATTTCTCGCAATCAGTAGCTAAAATGAGATGGAAAGGCAAGGGTAAAGGTATACAATATTTCAATGATAAAGATAATAATGAAAATTTAGAAAAAGTTAGTTCAAGATACAAACAAAAAGACGAATCTAGAAACAATGATGATATAAAAAATCGAAGAGAGAATGATAAAAAGAATAAAATAGAAATAACGGAGCATAGAAAACATGAACATAGAAAGAATGATAATAAGAACAATTTAGAATATTCTTATAATAATGATAAATATACAGAGAAAGAAAAACACAAGGAACAAAGATACTATGATACATCACGCGAAAAATATGAATATGATTCTAGACGAAGAAAAGAGAGGAAACATAGAGATAGAAGCAGAAGTAGAAGTCGCGATAAAAGTAAAAGGGAAAACTATAAAGAGCACAAACAAAAAAAGAAATACGATAATGAAAAAAAAAGATGGAACAGAGAGAGTGTCAGTGAGAATTTAGGATATGAAAAATATAAAGAAAGACATTCAAATCGCAAAGAAAAAGAAAAACGTAAAGAAAGAAATCGATCTATGGATAGATATGAAAAAAATAAGCAAAAAGAGAGATGATGTGAATATTCTTCAATATTCTACTTATTACTTATAATTATGCATATATTGTGAATATATATTTTGTAAAATTGAATTGATAATCTATCTTTAAAAATATATTTCTGCTTTTTATGCAAATAAAAATAAAGAAATAAATATAGAAATCATTTAATTAATTTATTCAATTTAATTTATTCAGTAATTAATTGCTTATATCATTTAAATTATATTTTCATTTATTTCTATAAATAATGTAAGATCTTTTAATAATCTGTCTACATCACCATGTATTGAGCTAAATATAATTATTAATATCTTATAATTTTTATTTAAATTAGAATAAAACAGTTTACAAAAATACATTAATTATTACATTTTGTAAATCGTAATGAATTGCTGAAAGCACAACAATTAAAAATAAAAATTTTAAAAAAATTATTATATTTTAACTAAATTATTATTATATTTCAAATATCGTTTAATTTCTTTTTCAATTTTATATTTGTCTTAAATAATTTTATCACGTTTAAATACTTTTTATTTAAATATATTTTAATATTATTCCTTTTTTATATTGTTCCTTTTTAGATTTAATCAATTTTTATTTTATATGTTTATTCTTATATCTTATATATTTATTCTAAAGAATTGATTATTTTTTTATAGATTAGTAATTAACTATTGAGAGAATTTATAAGGCGGGAAAAACAAATTTCAATATGGATGCCATAATAATATTTCGAAATAACAGTCAGATGATAACATTTAATTCTTCGTATAAAAAGCAGTTATTTTTATTGATTTGTGACGATATATATATATATATATTTGTTAAGACATAATACATTAATTATTAAGAATATTACGAGAGAGATTATTTTAAAGAATAGAAATTAAACAAATTACATTTTTATTTCAAATAAATTTATTCTTTCATCATTTAATTCTTAGTATTAATACATTTTAATATGTGCGTGTATATGTTGACGGATAATTAAATAAATAAAATATAATAATTGATTAAAAAATTAACTGATTTAATTTCTTGTTTTGATTTCCCTATAACTTCTTTTATGATTTATTTTGCATAATGATCAAAAATTTAAACGTTTAGCAAACAAGATTTTATACTTTTTGCGTAATTTCATTTTATATATTTAAAATTTTATATTTTATATTTAAATATCGTAAAATAGATGGCGTAAGAAACAATCTGATTTTTTTTTAACCGATTGATATTTCAACATTGATATTTCAAAATCCTATAAGATGTCACGTCTATTCTTTTTCTCGCTAGTTTCTATAATTTCATCTATGATAATACTCTAAAGATGGCACTCATTACATTATTTTTAAATATTTTCTTTCGCTATTTGTTCTTTATCTACATATTATATCTGTATTTCATTTATGATTTTAAAAACTGAGTTTTGAATTTTTATCTCTTTTCTTCTCTCGTTTGCTCTTGGTCTTATCTCCTTTTGGCGCGTGATTAAATACAGATTATTTATATTATATATATATATCTATTCGAAAATATTTTAAATATATTTATTCGCAAATATAAGAACATATATTTTAATATATTTATTACTCGTTATTAAAAACGGATGAGAAATAGTTGTTGTAACACTGTATTATCTATGAATGATAAATCGTACGCTTTTTGTCATATATTATTAGTTTAGTTTTTAAATGTACAGTGGGCAGAGTGATCTCGAATATTTCGGTGTTCTCGAGCATGTGATATTTATTTGTTGTTTGTTTTGTAATTACATACAATATATTACTGATATTATCAAAACTTAATGTATATAATAACAAAAACGTAAATGTTAGATTTTAAATAGTAATTATAGTCTATAGAAAAAATGAATTCGATATAGTTTGGTTGTGATTTTTGTGAATAATAGTGAGATTTTTATGATTTATAAAATTATTTTTATCATGTTGTAAGTGAATCTAAAAAATTAGAAGAATATAAAGGACGTACGATTACTGGTAAGTGTTTCATTTTAAAACTTAATTATAAAAACCGAAAAATAGTTTGAGGTTATGTCAATTATTACTTCAAATTATTGTTTTTCTATTATTAATCTGTCGATATAACATCAATATAATCGTATTAATAAATCGTCAGGTTATAATGAGATATACGTTATAATGTAACGCAACTTTTATCATTGTGTAATTATTTGTAACGTTTATTATCTCACGTGACTGAGCACGTGTACGTACTTTGCACAGCATTATATATACGCGTTATTTCTCTTTACGAAAATTTAATAATAATTCATATTTGTATAATAAATAAATACAAAATACATATATTTTTATATTTTTATTCGTTAATAATCTAATATATGGTTCGAAAATAGAGCGCTTTTTCGAGATCATTACGAGTCGAGAAATATTCGTTGTCACGATATTTAAACAATTCCGAAGTTTTGATTCATTTCGAGACAATAGAAATAATAAGTTCACATATGTATATTGCTCGTATAATTATCCTTTTTATTATGGTTATTCATTATGTTATTATTTTATTTATTTTATTGTTGTATTACATTGTTATTGGGGGAATCACAATGATGGAAGATTATTAATTTTTCCCGCTTTAAGTCTTGCGCGATTTAAGGCTAAAACATATGATTAAATTCGATTAAACTTGAAGATAAGAGATTTAGATACGTTTCTAAATATCATAATTATAGTAGCATTGTACAAGAAAAGATTAAGATTTTACAAAGAAATGATTTACGACAGTTTTGACATAAGTGCACGTAGAGTGTATTTAAATTATAAAGAAAAAAAATAAAAATAAGTTAATAGAAAAACGATCGGTAGAATGCTAGTCAGGTATAAAATATTTTTTTTGGAGTAAACGACGATGCATTTTCAGGATGAAGAGCTACTAAAAAAGTAACGAATTTATCGGGGTTAAATAAATAAGAAGGGGCACATAAAATAACTAGATAAAAACATGATATGTTTCTTTTTCCGAAACGATTATAAATAATTTATAACGAAGGGTGCAGGCGGCCTCTCTTTTTCCGTCTCTGTTTTTTTCCTGAGATCGTCGACGTACATTTCTCTTTCCTTTTATTCGTCCTCTTGTTGTCTTTTTTTTTTTTTCTTTTCTTTTTATCAAAAGTATCATTCGTTTTTATATCGATAACAATCGTAGGATAGGAAAGGTAGAACGGTTAAATTTTTGTCAAGATGCGTGCGATTGGAAAAAGAGTCGTAAATCATAATTGATGTATAGCAACGTTTACATTCTATTTACGAATATGTTTGAACTTGAACATACATATAAAGAAACGGGTAGCAGAGTATCGTAATAAATTTTTCGCTAACTAGAATAGAATAATGTTTTTTTTCTTTTTTTAGTTGTACGTGCTGTGATAATCTCATTTTCTTGCTTTTCAGCATATGTATATGTATATATGCATATATTTCTTTAAAAACAGTTTCGAGAACATTTGAGCCTCGGCCCTTGCACCCTTCTCGCTTAAACCTAACGAATAAATACCTATTCGCCATTTCGATTTTCTATCGATGGCTCGTCGAGGACACTCCACTTTTTAAATTTAATTTATTTCGTTCTCTCTTTCTCTTCCTCTCTTTCCGTTCGTTCGTCCCTTTTTCGTCCTCTTAGTTCCATTTTCGAACAAATTCTAAAATATGAATTGATTATCGAGAAATTTTATTGCGTTTTCATTCAATGAAAAATTATATTGAATATATACGTAAAGGAACAATTGTCGAGCCGCGAATGCAGTGTCCTCGATCGAATTAAACGATACTGGTGAAATATGTGCGCATTCGCTCGTAATCCCCAATATCTTTTCGCCGATCGGGGATCGCTCGTAAATCGATCGTAAGATGATAATTGACGATCATTCGCGTCCCTCGATACGAAAAATATATCGTCTGTAACAAAATATCGGCCCCGCCGATCGTCAAACTTTTCCTCGCTTCACAGTGTGACAAATGTGACGAGCCTTAAATGATTTTTGAACGGAAGAGTTGGAAAGATCGTGTGAAAGGCGCCGAATCGGAGCCGGATATTTTTTTTCTTTTCTTTTCTTTCTTTCTTTTTCTTTCTTTTCTTTTTTTTTTTTTCATCGGTCGAATTCGGAGAATTTAAAAAGCCAATGAATTCCATTCGAGGAATGGAAATTCCTCCGTTCCCTCTGTTTTCGCGTGTCTCGTTCGAGGCAAAGGGTGCACCGCGCAAGAGGCTCGACCATTCTCGATCCCATGGCCCATCATCCGCCAACCATTTCATTTATCTTGTTTCTTTTACTTGTGAAATTGCCGCTTGCGCCCCATGTTGCATATCTTGAAGTGGCACAACGTCATATCTAAACAACAATTCAAGAATCAATGAATAAATGCGTCGCGAGATTTTGAATTCTTCTTTTTTGGAAGATAACATTTTTGGGAAGAAATATGGGATAGACGGAATTAATCGATCGTCGTCTTATCCTTCAACGATGGACGATATCGTTGACGATATGACGCAACGAATCGAATCAAAAGTCAATTGGCCCAATCGATCGCTTTATCATCCTCCCTTCCCCCTCCCCCTCCCCCTCCTCTCCCCTTCCTCCCCCCCCTCTCTCTCGATCCTTAGTTCGCGAAATTGTCGATTATTTTCAAAGCGTTTCCAACTTTCTCGAAAGATTGAAAGTATAAGATGGAATGGAATGGAATGGAATGGAAAGGTGGCGAAGGTAGGAAGGTGTCTCTACTCACAGCTGATCATGGTACGTTTGCCGGAATGCTGCGGCTCTTGTCTAACCACGGCATTCGGTGTCGGTAGTTTTTCAGCGTAGTAATCCGAGTCCGATTGTATCTCCGATTCCTTCCCCTCCATTATTATCGACTGGATCTTCATACGTTCCTTGTCCAACTCTTTCTCCCGCTCCGCGACGTACTGTTTCTCCTCGAACAACTCCTTCAGCTTGTTGAGCAATATCTGCCGATTAAAACACGTGCAAAGATTCGAATGAGGCGAATAGCGAGAACGAGCTATGAGAGAAATGATGAAACTTGGATGCTTACGAAATCGTTGTCCGAGGTTTTGCCGTAGAACTCGGACTCGGGGATCGGTTCCCCGACGACGGACGACGCTGAGAGACGGAAGAACAACAACAACAGTGCCAACAGACACAGGGCTGTCCTTCGTTTCGCGCTCGACCTTCCCGTCATTCCCTCGGTCCTCTTTTTTATCGCTGAAAGAAAAAAGACGATCACCACTGAAATTAGTCGACTCGAATAGAGAACGAGAGAGAGAGAGAGAGAGAGAAAGAGCTAGGGGACACAATCGTTATATCTCTCGTCCATTCGACTCGCAGCGTACCGGACATTTTTCGAAACGTGAAACGTGTTATGGACAGATGGCGCGCATCTCAGAAGAAAGAGAAACGCGTCCCACCAATCGATTCCTTCGATTGTTCGAAGCCTTGTAACCTTGGCGTCGCATCGCGGGATCGCGTCACGTTTATTTAGCCCCGTTTATTAACCCTTTACCGCGGCTCGAACCCAAACAAATCTATTTATTAATAGGAAAATACCGCAGTTAAATGTTGAAAACGAAGATACCGTTAGGCGCGCTCGTCGCTCGCTCCTCTCCCCCCTCTCCCACCTCCCTCCAAGATACACCACGCTTCTTTCTCGTTTACGCGATCTCGTATCGAATCTCGTCCATCCCTCCCTCTTCCAATAATAACATACGCTCTAATCTATCTATTCGTTTTTTTTTGTCGCGCGCGTTGGCGTAACGGGGAACAGGAACAGGAGGAGGAGGAGGAGGAAGAAGAGTAGAAGAAGAAGAAAGAAAAAAAAGAAAAAGACGGAACGAGCGAAATCGGCGGACGAGATTATCGGTCTGACGAACGGGTGTTGTAGATCGCTGGGATTCGTCATCATATTCGTGTGTAACCTCTTGTTTGCGATCTCTGCGTAATCTTATCCAACCGCCGTCCGCGCCCCTCGGACGAGCGCCTCTTATCGCCTCGAGGTAAGGGATAATCCTCGATGACCCGCGCGGAGAAACGGCGCGTGAATTCATTCAGCCCGGCCGCCGATTTATCCGCCGCCGCCGCCGCCGCCCGATCCGATTCGTTCGAACGGAGGGCGGGGGGAGGGGGGGTACGAGTACAATCGCGAGCTTTTCTCACCATTCACCTTTCCTTCCTCCCCTGCCGTTTCTCTCCTTCGAAGAAATTTCGAATTTCTTTGAGTTCGTTCTTTCGTTCGAGGGGGGATAAAAGTGGAATAAAACCTGAGGAAAAATGCGAAACTTGGATCTGTTATATATGTATATATATATATATATATATATATATATATATATATATATA